GGCGTGGGCGGGCCGCCGGCCGCCGGGAGGCGTTCTCTGACCGGTCGGGGCTTCTGCCTGTCAGCCTGTTGGCGTTTCGCGCAGGCGCAGGGTGGCAGCCCCGCCTGCCGGCCTTAGGGCGGCTTGCTCAGTCGCGTCGCCTCTGTACGGGGAGGCTCGGCGAGCGAACGTCAGCGGCGGGGCGGAGACCGAGCTCCTGTTCCTGCGGGCATAGAGCGGCGGCCTCCCCTTCTAACGCTCAACAATAAAAAGCACTTTGCACTCGTGTGCGGAGTACTCTTTCACCTTAATTCACTTGGTAATCGTGTTCGAGGTAAATATTTGCTATTTGCTCCGTTTTATTAAGGGGATCTGTACGAACAGACTGGATTCTGGCTTCAGAGTGAGGGCCCTGGCCACTGTCCGAAGTCTTTCTGTTATGTGATTCTGATCTCCGGTTTTTTAGATTTTGTTTTCTCAGTGTATCGTTATTGTGTGGCGGTGGGCCTAATGTACGTAGGGGTGTGAGTGCCATGATATGCACGCTGAGACCCGAGGACAATTTTGTGGAGGCTTCAACTTTCTTGTGGGTTCTGGGGATTGATTTCTGGTTACTAGGTGTATGTGCTAAGCGCCTTTTATCAGCCTAGCTGGCCACTGGCCCTGGCTCTTACTGTAATGTGGACGTTTCCCTGACAAACTCACCTTGTGTTCTCGTTGATAAATTCCCTAATATGACTTGTACCAGGCAAGTATACTTCTGTGGTAGGTTGTCCTAGGTGGGTGATTACAGCGTTTGGAAGGAATTCAAGACTATCTGGATCAAGGCCTTCATCTATTCCAAAGTATTTAAATTTCTAGGATGTATATGAGTAATGTATGGTGTCATTTCTGTTTTTCCTTCATAAATATCACCCCATAAAAATGTTCTAGAGAGCGTTATCTGTGGGCTGGAGAGGTAATGTGTCTAGGTTTGATCCCCTAGTACTGCCCGGGCGAGAGTGGGGTGGGGTAGGGACCACTCTACCCCCTTGTCTGCAACCCCTTTTTTCTTCTCTGGCACTGTCTGTCCCCTTTTTCTACTCCTTTGGTGACCAAATAGAAACAGTGTAACTAGTTGATCTCAAACTCTGTTGAAGACACAAAGGAATCGGAAACATATTAAAACTTTATAGAAATATAGAGAAAAAAATACAATTGACCCAGAGATATCCCCCCTCCCTGAAGGACGGATGGACCAACAGTGAGAGCTCCTAGAGCTGATAGGGCTGTTCTCAGTCTCTTTCCTCCTCCAGGAGCATGGCATCTAGCTCCTTCAGCCGTTCTTGCAGCAGACGTCCCACGTCCTGGCTGGGTGCCAGGTTAGGAGTAAGGGTCCTGCCAGCTGCAGTGCGGGCCCCTCGTGATGGTCGACGGGATCGAGGAAGGCTACTGTCCCGAAATTCCATAGCCCGTCGGAGTTTCCTAGAACTGGTAAAAATCAGAGTCCCATTGCGCTCCCGCGGCTCCTCGAAGATGGTCTCAAAGGTCCTGGGCCGGGCAGGGAGAAGAGGTGTTTACCAGCATGCTCCCTGGTTCCAGCAGCCCTCTGCTGCCCTCAGACCTTCCAAGTTTCTCACCTTCTGGCTGTTGGTGATTGATAATTCTTATTGGTATAAATTTCTTCTAAAGTGAACTCCTTTTTGTTCAATCTGGAAGCAAAAGCAAAGGGCACTGAGGAAACCCTGAGCAAAGGAGGTCCTAAAGGGTCCAGGGAATTTCGGGTTTGGGGCTATGTGAGAGTCAGAAGTGACATGTGAGGAAGTTCTAAACACAAGCCACATCCTTGCTAAACTTTGTCTTCCAGGCTGGACTACGCTCCTTGAGAGGAGACAAGGCTGTACTTCAGGGATAGGAGCTGTCACCTACTTGGTCATGGTAGCTCCCTGCCCTCTGAGCCTCTTACCTGACTGGTCGAGGCAGCCCCATTGGTGTAAGGTTTGGTTGTAATCTGACGGGCGTCCTCCGTATTCTGAATCCAGAAACCTTTCCCATGGTCTGCAAAAATGGGGCAGAGGGTGAAGGGAAGGCATGGGCTTAGGCCGCAGCTAGCTCCCGTCTCTTTATTCATTACCTTGGTCTCTGGGTCAGGAAGCACCTTGTCCTTTGAGGCTTTTAACTCCTTCCCCTTGGTTGAACCCAATCTGCAGAGATGGTCAACAGTCAGGGACAAGGAAACACACAGCAATACACCCGTCTTCTGTCATTGGTTACTGAGCAAAGGAGGCCGGGCTCAGGCTGTGGCCAAGGCTTCCAGAAGGGTTTATTAAGAGCACTACCTGGGTTCTGCTGGTTCGCAGAAGAAGGAAGTGGATGCAGTGGATGAGCAAGATGTAGTGAGAGAAGGTGAGACTCCCACTCCTCCAAGAGGGAAGACCTCTTTCCGGAGACAGGGCCGAGGAGGCGGTGGGGTCCGGGTCATCTCCCCACAACCCACAGTATGTCTCCGGGGCTTGGACTGGCTTGGCTGGGATGGAACAGTCGGCCAGGTACAGCTACCTGGGCCAGGGGGCCCCAGATCAGGGCAGGAGTAGCTTCGGCCCAGAGATAATTTAGGGACTGGTGGTGGGGAACTGTCCTGAGTCCGCCACTGACGGATAGGGGGCCGGGGGCTGACAGATGCCATTCTCTCAGTAGCCCTGGACTGCTCAGCCTCTGAGATAGCAATCTTCAACTCCAATTTCATGGGAGGTGATGGGGGTGGAGGCTGTGGTGCTTTGTTAGGCGTGAGGAAGATGTCAGCGAAGCTCTCAAGCTTGGATCGGACGGAACGGAAGAGAGGGGCCAAGCCCCAGGGACTGAGACGGGGGCGTAAAAGGCTGGACGGTGGTGGGGTCAATGGGGCCTCCAGAGCAGGATCTGGGGCTGAGGAAAGGAGAGGGTCACAGGTGGGTATTCCTTACCCTCAGGTGATTTAAGCACCACCTCACAAGCCTCAGTCTCTTTCCCCAAACACTAATCTGTCTCTAGAGAAGTGAACCTGATCCTAAAGTCCTAGAAGTAGGATTGCTTAACATGCCATAAGCCCTGGATTTGATCCCCAGTACTACAAAATAAAATAAGAACCCCCTCAAGTCCCTGAGGTCCAAATCCCATTTTTGTCCATCCTGCTCTGTCCCGGGAGGGGATTAAGTCTCATCCATAGTTCTTCCCCTGATGTTTCAAGCTTATGTTGGCTATTCCAGACTTTTGAGACAGACAATGTCCTCTATTCAAGTCCTTACCCGGTAGTGGGCTCTCTGGAGGGTCAGCAGGCAGAGTGGATGGTTGGGATGGAGGGTCTAGTTCTCTGGGCGGAGGCATTGGCTGTTGAACTTTTGTCATAGGCTCAGCTCTGGGGTGAGGGGACAAAGTAAGAGTTGGGGGTGCTTCCAAGTCCAGGTCCCTCCTAGGCCAGTGTTTCCCCTGGCCCTTAAGACTTCTGAAGGAGCTATAAGGAAGGATTAGACAAGTAAATCCTGATGTCCCCAGCTCTGGATGTCTGGATGATAGCTTTGATAATCTCTTCCTCAGCCATCTCACCTTTGTGCTGGGACAATGAAGCTGGGCCCATCTTCAGCCAAACCCTGGATATAAACAGGGGAGGTGATTTGAAAAAGCAGGAAGCCATCTTTGTTGCCCCATGTCCTAACTCACTAATGCCCCAGTTATCTGCTTGGGTGTAGACAAAAGATTTTTTTTCTTCTACCCTTTATTCAGGTAGTGTCTACCACATAAAATGTTGTCATTGGGGTGGTGGCACAAGCCTTTATACCTATACTTGAAAGGGAGAGGCAGGCTATAAATTGGGTCAGCCTGGTCTACACACCAAGTTTTTGGCCACCCAAGTCTACATAGTGAATGGTGGGGCGGTGAGGCGGGCTGGAGAGATGGCTCAGTGGTTGAGGCACTGCTACTCTTCCAGAGGACCCAGTTCAGTTCCCAGCACCCACATGGCAGCTCACAACTGTTTAACTCCTGTTCCAGGGGATCCAATATCCTCATACAGATGTACATGCAGGCAAAACACCAATGTACATAAAATAAAAATAAATTGTTTTAAAAAATTCTTTTGTCCTGCCTTTACAGAAATCCACCCCCAGCCTCATGCTTGCCCTAGTTAGACCCAGAGATCTTCACCATACTTTCTTATACCTCAACTGGTTGTCTGGAATTGGCAATGTCTTCCAATACCACCACCAGAGTGGGCTGGGTGACCTGGTCCACCTTCTGTGAAGGGCTCTCTTCTGGGCCAGAGGCTATCCTTGATCTCATCCTCAAAGTGGGAGAGGACTGGTGGATACGGCTTAAGGGTTCTCGGCACAAATGCAGTGGGTCAGGAGGCCTAGAGAAGAAGTAGGGGGATCAGTGGGCTCAGCTGCGTTCTCAGCTTATTCCCTTCTCTGCCACACTCACCTGGCTTGTAAGGGCCACTTGACCTGCTGGGGTGGTAAAGCTGGTGACTGTCTGCAGACAGAATCTGGATGATTGTTGTGATGCATCGGGCTGGAGGTGTCCTCTTGGTATGCCAGGGGGACCTAAGAGAGGAAGAGTTGTTAAAAAGGGAGCCAGGCTGGGCTCATGCCTATAATCCCAGTACTTCTGAGGCTAACACAAAAGGATGGAGAGTTCCAGGTCAGCCTGGGCTGAAAGGAAAGACTATCTCAGTAAGACAAAACGACAGCAAAGACCAAAGTAATGGAATGAGGCCAACTGGACAGGAGCCTAGTCACAGAGGAGACAGATTTCAGTTAGAAATTCACTCAGATCCCTAAAGGAAGTGATTTGGTCTGAATTAGGAGTGAGATAGTAGAGTCAGGAGCTACAGGTGTGAAATGTAAGTCATCTAACCCAGGCTCTGAAGAAATAGAAAAAGAAGTGACATTTTTCTCATCTCTGTTGTGTAACCAAAGACACAACCAGCATGCTTCCCAGGGGGGCAGGGCAGCCAGAAGAGTTTCTCATACTTAGTAGGATATGGTTCCAGCTCAGTGGAGGGTGTGGGGAGGACAGACACACCCCAGAACTATGCAGAAGTCTTGCATTAAGGAGACTGCTTTGAATGCTGGCTTAAGGGAGCTGGTCTGACTGTAGTACTGAGCCAGGGCGGTGGTGGAGGACTGGGAAGGGGGAGGCGTCTTTCAGTTAAAGGGCTCACCCTGTTTGTAGCCATGACATCTTCCAGCACCACGGTCAGGACTCTCCGAGAGGCCTTTTCCAGGGGCGAAGGAGTCCCCAAATGCTGCAGCCTCGGTCTTTTCGGGCTCCTGGCTTCCCATAATGCTCGAGCTAGGGGCTGGCGGCACAGGTTTGACTGTCTAGAAGGACTGGAGGATGAAAGAAGTAGAAGACAGTTGCCCGAACCGGTTGTTGGCTCTGTAGTGCTCGGGTACAGCCGCCAGGATCCCCGTGTCCCAGGCTCAAGACAGGCAGGCGGGCGGGGAGCGCTCTCACCTGGAGTCCCCAGGGAAGTCCATGGGGAAAGCGGTGGTTCCAGGGAGTCCCTGGGGGATCCCA